TAGACTCCGAATTAGACAATTCAAGAAGATTTAGAAAGATGAAAGAAAGGCCCACAACTTTTATGTTTTGGATTTTGGCAGATTCGGTCTGCATCGAGTATGAAACTGGGCCTGAAATCAGAGCAAGTTTGTAGCCAGACCCATTTCACAACTGAAGCCCAACTCGCAGAAGAACCTGGAAGYAGCCCAAGTTATCAGAGAAGCCCAACTTGGATGCAAGAGCCTAGAGTCCTAATTCGAATGTAACCTCCAAGGAGGGAGAGAGTCTTATTAGATCTGAATTTTAATTGTAATCCTATAAAGATAAGAAGGTTGGGGATTAGATAAGAGATAGGATAGGTTTAGTTCAAAGAAGATCAGGACTCCCTGAAGATAAGATGATCTCCTAGAAGGAGTTGGAAAACAGCCCTCTCCTTTGGCTATATAAAGAGGGGGCCAGACCAGCTCTAGCATCAGTCACCCCAAGATCCAAGAGATCACCAAGCAACTCAAGCTACCAAGAGAGCAGTTCAGTCATAGAGAAGAAACACATGGAGGGTTCGAAGATCATGAGCAGCTAAACTTCCCTTTTCTGGTTCAAGGGGGGAGGTCCGATTGAGTGATTGTGAGGTTCTGTATTTAATTTCAGTTCTTGTTTTCTAATTCAAGTATTCATTGATTCTGGTGCATATTTTCATTGGATGTTAATGTTAATTAGACTAACAAACTGAATTAATGTTGATTTTCCTATTGCTATCCATGATTTTGGTGATCCGTAATTGTCACGAATAGTGGTACAAGTAGCAATTAGGTTAATATCTTTTTGGGTCAATTGTTCGTGACAGCCTTTGACCAATGTATTGACATGGTTTAACCTAAAAGGAATCGATGGAACAAGATGCAATAATTGCAGCTATCTCAATTATTGTTGTTTTGGTTTAACTGTTTTCACAAATCTTAATGCCATTACTGGTTAATATGGAACACTATCGCACCCAGTTGAGTAGTGAAGTATTGATCGAATGTTGGGTTTGATCAGCTGTATTAGGAAAACACAAGGTTTATTCTGGCTATCCTAATAAATCTAAGGTTAAATGCTTGAATTGCAAGATTTCCTGGGATACCTATGATCGATGGCCAATTGGCAAAACCGAACCCCTGAACCAGAATTCGGTAAGGCTGATTTCTCTTGTTTGCTTGCTATTTCTTCTTTTAATTTCAGTATTTAATTTTCCCACTCAGTAATATTATCCATTCGGCTAAGAGACTACTGTTATCTCCCTGTGGGATTTAACCTAATACCACTTTTACTGCAAATATCTTATTGTGGTACTAGCATTAATTTTGAGGGCTTCGACAAACCCGTCAGTAATCTTTGGCCGAATTATTCTTGTTTCTTGGATTGCTTGAATTGCTTGAGAAAGGGTTTAGGTAATCAAATCAACTAATCAAGAAAATAGATTGAATGCATTTTAGAGATAACATGCATGATTCGTTTGGCATTCATTCAACAAGAATGGGTTTCCTACGAATTCTTTGTTCTTAATGCATCTATGGCAATTAAATTTCTGATAGAGATATAGGAATTGTTGCTCATAGATAGAGTGGGTTGTGCCCAAGAGAGGCTGCTCATACAATTAGGGTTTAGCCAACCCAAGACTAAATTCACTTTTATGTTTATTAAATTTCAAATTATTTAGTAAATTGTTATTGATTCGTAATTTATGTATGATATTATGCTAAGTTTATTATTGTTTAAAATTTTTAATCTTGTTATAATTTGTTATTATAAATTAAGTATAATATTATTGTAATTAAATTTTACAATTATTATGAATTTTTTATTAATTTGATCATTTTTAAATTAAAATTATTATAATTAATTATTAAATTTTCAATGACAACATGAAAAATATTACATGTAATTGTAATAAGTTTTCTAATTGTTAAATTTTATTACATTTATTATTTTACTTATTATATTATTTATTTTATTCTTATTAGTCTTTTAGATATATTTTACTCATCTTAATATTATTTGAGATAGAGAAGGAGAGATAGGGGGTTTGGAAAGAGGCATTAGAATTAGGTCGTTTATTGTGAGATAGGTTAGGAGATGTTTTAGGAGGAAGTTTTAGCTGGGGAGATATTTTAGGAGAATTTTCAGGAGAAGAGAGGATTTAGTTGATTGGGAATGTGTGTGTATGTGTGTATGTGTGTGTGTGTGAGAGAGAGAGAGAGAGAGATTTTAGGGATAAGTAAGGGGATTATTGCCCTATATATGTTGTTTCCTTGTTGACTACCATGCTATATATATATACGATTAGTTGTGTACATCAAGCTGCTCCTGACTGTTTTTGTAATGGTTTTTGAATAATTGTTGATCTGGATGGTCGTATTTTCCACCTAGAAAATCATCTGGGCAACTGCTTCCATTTCATTCCCGAATAAGAATTTTAACCAAAACCATTGACCTAGGCGGTTGAACCATTGACCCATTCAACCCGGATGGCTAAAGTAATTTTGGCTCCGGGTCTTTTTCAAAACATTTTTGTTTTGACCCATAACCTTCCGAATAGACCAATAAATGCAGGCAGAATTGATCGCAAAGTCTCCACCATAACCAGCAAGAGACTTCATCAACCAACCAGTTGGCACTCTGCAGCGGCTAAAACAAAAAAAAAAAAAAAGAAAAAAAAACAAAAGTCATAGCCTTTGATTTATTGTTGTGGCCTCACCAAGACGTCAGTTCAAGGTGGGGTCACATCTATATATCAAAGGCTTTGATATTGTTGTTTCAGCACAGCACTAGGACAGTGTGGTAGTAAATCTCGTTTGGTTTCTCCATTCAACAATGCTGCTTCCTTCAATCTTGGAACTATGCAAAGAATGAATAGAAAAATTTAGAGTTGGACTATGATACAAAAGGGACATGATATTTATCAAAATTCATCATGCCTCTACAACTGCATAGATTTTCCCATAAATTTAATATGAACTTAAATTAATTATAATATCAATTTTATATTAGCCCTTTTTGGTTTGACAGAGAATAAGAGATAGAAAGTTGAACAAATTTTGTATAATTCTTTAAGAACTTTCCCTCACTTTCTATTTCTCTTATTTTTCTTTCAAACTAAACACAACCTTAATGTCAACGACATGCAAATTATATGATTCTTGAGTGCTACGCTATGTGTTGTTTAGTTAATTTGATTGAGTTGAGTAATTACTTGACTACATATCGTAGATCCAGCATGCATTGGAAACATCTCTCATACTTGTCATTGGGACATGTCCACAATACACGGTTGGGATGTGCTGTGTAGCGTTTGTGGGGCACACAATGTGGAGTRCAGATGTAAATTCCGGGATCAAACCCATGGAACCGCAGGCTATTCCTTATATGGCTAGTGGGTCTCATTTGCACCCTGCTCTATCTTCACACCTCTTGGTAATCACTAATCCGTCCTATGTAATACTAAGGGGGTGCACTCCAGGCACGGTGGACAGGTTTATGGTAAACCCAAGCCCAACCCAACCACTTAAAACATAGGACCTAGTCCGAGGTGAAGCCCAAACTTCCAAACCCTATTTAGGGTTTGAGATTTAAAGTAAAATATGAATCACCTTAATAAAAGATGCACAGTAACCTAATTACCTATACACCTTTACAGTAACATATAATTGATTTAGGCACCAGTTAGTGTGCTTACATAAGAATCGGTCCGGGCTAGGATTCTTCAAGGGTTAAACCCAAGCCAAACCTAAATATTGGAAAAGCCTGAATTTCTTGGCCCAAGCCCAGCCTGGGAACTGAAAATGCATGCCCATCCCCTGTAATATTTTAGTCTCGGGTTGGGCTATCCCAAGTTGCAGGCTTGCAGCCATAAAAAATTAATAAAAAAGATACAGAAGAGGATAGAAGGCCATCTTATTTAACTTCTATAGGTAAATCACCCAAGTTGCTCTAATTTGTTTGGTACCTACATCAGTAAACTGTTTCGTATGATATATGCCCATTTTCAGGGCCACCAAAACACTACATACAGAATTACAGAGGGCCCCAAGGATGTAAACGTCAAAAACTCTCCGAATATAACTATCCTTGAATTATTGAACTGAAACAGAAATAAAAAAAGAAAAAGAAAAACGAGTATCGATGGTTTTAGTTTAGACGCCCATACAGAAAATTGAACATACCAGTACTTTAAGTTTAAACCATGGTACAGATCTCATCCCCAGCAATAATATTTCCGGACAAAACAAACCCCTGTTCTTATATCTGACAGAACAAGATCTTATTGCCATCCGAAGCGGCGGCCTATAATCATGTACTAAGATGAGTCCTTTTTCTCTTCACATAAATATACGCACAATATATAACTAATACACAATGGGCAGAATACTAATGAAAATATGTACAGTGAAAATACAGGTTTAGAAATACAAAATATTTATATTTGCAACTCTTTCCAAACTAAGACTCAGTTTGGAAGGAGTACAAATACAAATATGTACAGTGCCAATACATACAAAATACAAGGTTTTGCACTCCACATATTTGCATTATACTCTTTCCAAACTGAGCTTTGAAGGGTGCCCACTTTAACCTCTTTGAATAACTTATCTAGAGCACTTCAAAACAGCTGAATCTTCAGCTCAGCCTTCCTGAACGGACCATTAGATGTGTTAGCTGTGAATGTTCAAAAGCTTAGACGTTTGAAATCTTGATGATGCATATCCAATAGTCCGTATCCTCAGTTTGAAGATATACACATTACAATTCACAAAGAACCACCTAATCAAAGGCTACAGCTCGTAAGTAGTCACCTAAAACACAATAAGTCCCTAGTTTAACCTTGAAGGTCAATCACCTAGCTTTGGAAAATTGTCGCTAGGTACCTTTGCAAACATTGAGCACAACCATGAACTATCTGATTGATATTTGAGCCAATCACATTTGGGGGCTCTTGCTTTCTATATACCTTTGATCAACTTGCAAGATACAAATTTCAACAAAAGAGAAAAGATAGGAATCAAAAATTTAGATGGGTTTTCACCAATATGCATGATTTTGTTTTTTCAAGACAAGAACAAGTTCCATGCCAGCATTTTTGTCATATTTTATATACTTAACTAGCAAACAACCCCTAGGTCCACTTAGATTTACAAAATAGAACAATGACAATGGCATGTGAATAAAAAATTGGATATGAAACAATTACAGAACAAAAATCTACCTGAATAAATTACTGGGAACCTAAACCCACGCTAGTAATCATCATCATCAAAATGGTCATCATTGTCACCACTATCTTGCTCGTATATCTGATATTCACCATCACTAATATCAGCATCTTGCCCCTTGCTTCTACCTGCTTCAGCTGATGGAAAACTGCCAAAGAGCTCTTGTAGGTAGTTCTTGGAAATGTTTTCTCCATTGGTATCTAATATAAATATAGGAAAAACAAATTCTTCTGACATGAATAAATCAAAGGGAAGTTTCAAGAACTTTGGTGGTATTTTAACCTAATCCCACATGACATAAGTCATCAAAATGAAAAGAACTGATCATGTTATGGAAGCCACTACTAAAAGGGCAGCGCAGTGCACAAGGCTCCAGCCAATGCAGGGTCTGGGGAGGGAGAGATGTACACAGCCTTGCCCCTGCACATACACAGCCATTGTGCCAAAGCCCGCCCTCTTATGGAAGCAACTACTGTAAAATATAAAATCAGATTCTAATGAACTCAAAGACAAAAACACAAAATGATGCTAAGTTTACCAAGTAAACTGGATCCTCTTACACCTGCAGGTCATTCTCAAAGATGTATTCCATTTTATCTGCTGCATGACTAAGTGAGCCTAATGGAGTCCAAACACCACCACTATAATCATGTTGATCAAAATTATTCCAAACACTTCCATGTCTCCAATTAATATTTATTAAACCCACTGAACTATTAAACTGTTTAAGCCTATTTTGCTTAACTTTTAAGCTTGAAAGATGTGAACACCAAGAAACATACAGGGAGGTAATGTTGGCAGAATCAATGATGGATGCCCCATAAGAAACCTAGGGTCCTCAGGTATTGCTGAGGCACACAAAGACCACAAGGTACAAGTTATCAGTCTACTCCGGGCCTATTGGTCATGGGTATGTTCAACTTATTCCTTAAAGATTGGACTGGTAGAAGAGACTTTGGGAGACCCCCCATAATAATGCAAAACTGCCCCAACAGTCCATGGCCATTGTGTTGTCAAATCTTGGAGGGCAAGCATCAGCTTCCAGTGGTGAATATAGTTTGGTCATGTGGATTCCATGATCAACTAATCTTCTGGCTGATGGTCTTGCGAATAGAGGGAGTTGAGAGATGGACTTACTGTGGCACTTACCTCCCTGGCAACCACATGATTGGTGTAATGATAAAGCTGATAAGTTTGAGAACCTAGGTTCAAGTATGAGAGCACCACTTTGTGAAAAAAAATGCCAAGGTTAGGTCCATATCGAGTCCACCACTCCACAAGCGCGCGCGCACACACACACACATCATTAGCATGTTTAGAAAGATACAACAAGATTGCAGAGAGAAATCACCATCCTCACCAGCCTACAAGAAAAGAGGATATAATTAAAATTAAATAAGAAAAAGGTCAATGCAGGGACCTAAAGTTGAAAATAATTACCATGTGAAGCAATTCATAATCCTCTAATTCCTCATCATCTTCTTCATCTTCAATTTCATCATCCTCATCTTCATCATCACCATCATCATCATCATCTGGTTCATCTTTGCCATCATTGCTTACAAGTTCTGAATGATTACATTTTGTAGGTGACACTCCTGGAAGATTAATGTGTAAAGTTTGATTTAGACACTAATAGTAACATAACTAGTTGCATTATGCACAAAAGACAGACTTGAAACCCAAACTGCAGTGCTAAAAAAGTTATAATACTTTTTTACAAAATGCAAAGTTAACCTGCATTTTGTTGATTCTCTTCCTTTTCTTCCTCACCAGATCTTGAGTCTTTTCTTAGGACTTGCATCCATTTGGATTTTTCAAAACGCTCAGACACAGATTTCAACAAGTCTTTTGCACCCAGTTTAGGATATACAGATAGGAACCTGGTTGCAACACGTAGTCTCAAGCTATCAAGCAAATGTGAAGAGAACCATCCTGTTGAAGACTACCAATATACAATATCAAATATGGAAATGATAACTGATTATCAATTTTTTTAATGAAAAACAGCACTTTAAATATCAGAAACATAGGAACTATAAGGTAAAACTCATTCCAAAGGGAATACAAGCACACCTACAAAATGGCAACAGAAAAGTCATGTAAAGGCCAAAAAATCCTTGTAATATCACCTGTAGTTCTGTAAGGAGAATGGGCCGAATGGGCCTTAGTATTCTTTATTTCTTTTAAGTAGTATTTAAAAGTTATGTTTCTTAGTTATGGGCCTTATGGACCTTTTATTTTCTTTAATTATTTCTTTAGTGCTGGCCGCCCCATTAAGGGCATCCAAGTAATTGTACTCAGATTTAGAATTATTAATAAAAGTGATGAAAGGAGGCTAGAGAGAGGTTCGAATTCCTTTCTTGAGTTGCTAAGATGACTTTGGTGAGAGTTCTTTTATCCTTAGCAGTGAGTTATGATTGGCCTCTGTATCAATTTGATGTTAAGAATGCATTCCTAAATGGTGATCTCACTGAAGAGGTATATATGTCCCTTCTTCCTGGTATATATGGCAAGGAAATGCAGGGTAAGGTGTTGAAGAAATCACTTTATGGCTTGAAACAACTTCCACGTGCTTGGTTTGATAGACTCCATCAAATCATACCCTCTTTGTTAAGAGAAAAGGCACACTGGTGACATTTCTTATAGTTTATGTAGATGATATTGTGGTTATTGGTAGTGATACAGAAGAAGTTAGTGCTCTCAATAAATTTCTCAGTTCTGAATTTGAAATTAAAGATTTAGGGGAGTTACAGTATTTTTTGGGCATTGAGGTTGCTAGGTCCAAGGAAGGTATCTTTATTTCTCAACAAAAGTATGTGCTAGACCTTCTTACTGAGATGGGAAAACTTGGTGCTAAACTTGCCTCTACCCCTATTGATGTGAATCATACTCTCAGCTAATGATGGAGAACTTTTAGCTAACAGGGGAGTGTTTCAAAGGTTACTGGGGAAACTTCTTTATCTATGTATGACTCGTCCAGACATTTCATATATTGTGAGTGTCATCATCCAATTCATGCATGCTCCGAGAGACACACATATGGCTGCTAGAAGAAAGGTGTTATGCTACCTTAAGGGAACCCCCAGGAAGGGTATATTATTTGCTAAACATGGACACATGAAGGTAGAAGCATATACAAATGTTGATTGGGCAGGAAATGTAGATGACAAAAGATCCACATCAGGATATTGTGCTATGGTAGCCAAAAATATTGTTTCCTAGAGAAGCAAAAAACAATCAATGGTTGCTAGATCTTCAGCTGAAGCAAAGTATAGAGCTATAGCCCATGGTGTTTCTGAGTTGTTATTGGCTTAGATCTCTCCTTAATGAGATGGGTATTTCATGTGACGAGCCATTAATGTTGTATTGTGATAACCAATCTGCTATTAACATTGCTCAAAATGCAGTTCAACATGATAGAGCTAAGCACATTGAGCTAAGCACATTAAGTAGTATTTAAAAGTTATATTTCTTAGTTATGGCCCTTATGGGCCTTCTTTTATTTTCTTTAATTATTTCTTTAGTGTAGGCTGCCCCATTAAGGGCATCCAAGTAATTGTGCTCAGACTTAGAATTATTAATAAAAGTGATGAAAGGAGGCTAGAGAGAGAACGAAACCCCACAAATCTGTACAAACTTGGCCTCTATAATGATAGAACGAAACCCCACAAATTAAGCCTGAAGTACATGTTTGAGTCCATAAAGAGATATCTTGAGGTGACAAACCATAGTTGGATCATCACAATATCCAAGAAGAGGCTTCATAAAAATTATTTCCTTTTAAGTGACCGTGAAGAAAAGCATTCTTTACATCCATTTGATGAATGTCCCACTATTTCCTTTAAGTGGACTATAGTCATCATTGCAACAAGTGCAAATGTCTCCTCATAATCAATCCCATACTCCTATTAGTCCTTGTAAAACCATCCAAGCCTTGTATCTATCAAAGCTACCATCTGACTTCAGCTTGATAGAATGAACCCATTTGCTAACTAATGATTGAGGCATCTGGCGATGTTAAAACAAGACCCTAAGTATCTGGAATATTTGAAGACAGCAAGACAACAAATTTCAGCATCCATAGCTTCTTTCCAATGTGGGACTACCATACCTTGCTGACGAGTCTTTGGAATATTTGAAGACAACAAGACAACAAAGAAGCAACTATGGTTGAAGAGAAACTATAGAGGTCAGGGGGTCTAGAGATACGAGAAGAACAATAAAGAGAGGATAATAAAAGAGCGAAAGAAGATGGTTATGGAGTAGTACTTAAAAGCAATGTTTTAAAAACTGACCCAAAGGCTATATGTATATATATATATATATGTGGGTGTGTGTACAAATACATATTTTATCAATAAAATATGTTAAATGTATTATTTTATATGTATAATTATGTTTTAGATATGTTAAATGTATTATTTTATATTTAATATATATTTTTTAATTCAGTTTTTAATTTTTTTATATATAAAAATATTAAAAATTGCAATTTGAGGCCAAAAAAGGTTTTCTTTTCGCAAAAATAGCGGGACAAGGCACCTACAGCACCTTGGGACGCATAAATCTTGAAAAGTTACCTAAAATAAAAAAAAAAGATCACCCAAATCGGACATCAGAGTGCAAATTTATGGCCTCCGAAAGTTTGCATGCATTGAGTCTACAACCTGCAACCGGTGACCAGGTCAAACGGGTAAACGGTTGAACTAGCCGGGTTGAATGGTTTTTTACCAAGCCAACAGTTTTGACTGACTAATAGGTTTTCACAGAACCAGACCCAAAATCCTAGTCGGGTGACGGTTCGAACAGTTAAACCAGTCGGGTCAACGATGGGTTGAAAACATTGCTTAAAAGTATCAATAGAAGGAAGAACAATAAGCTAGTGGAGAAGGGGGTAAAGGAGCAAGTTCTGAAGCAGCCATTTGCTTCCTTACATACTAGCAAATAGACTCCAAGAGGGTAGAGGTGGAGTTCATAGTACCTGTAGAATCAAATGAATGCAAAACAGAGACAAAGGAGTGTACAATTTAACAATGTGAACAAAGAAAAAGACATTCTCAAGAAAGACAACATTTCTAGAAATCCTAATCCACTAAGCTTGAGGGTCATTGTAGAGGAACTCCTTATGATCCAMGCTATATCCAGAGAAAGCACACAAAGCTAATGAAGGAGTGAAATTCATGCTTTCACAAGGAGGAAGATGAATGAAGCAAGCACTGCCAAAATATGAAGGAAAGAGAAATTCGGAGACCGATGAAACAAACATTGAAAAGGAGAGATACCATGGAGAATGAAAGAGGGAAGGAAGATAATGAAGTATGCAACAGTTTTGGCCGCCTCTGCCCAAAAAGAAGTAGGTGAATGGGAATCTTGCAACAAAGTTCTTACAACAATCAATGTGTTCATTTTTCCATTCCGCCACCCCATTTTGTTGTGGAGTCCCATGACATGATCTTTGTGATTGAATTCCTATTCCTTCAAGTGGATCTAAAAGTCTCAGTCGAGGTATTCCTGCTGAATCTGAACGTGAAGTGCCAATAGTAGCATCAAATTGATTTTTAACAAGGGCCTAAAACGGTTTAAAGGTAGAGAAAACTTTTAAGTTTTGTATCTAAAAGTGTATTCAGGTATAACATGTAAAGTCATCAAAAAAAATAACTAAGTATTGGTATCCCAACTTTGAGGGTACAAGAGACAACCAAACATCACTGTGAATCAAATTAAAAGGAAAAGAAGAATTCACAGCGGTAGATGGAAAAGGTAAATGTGAACTTTACTCAAACCCCATGAAATGCAAGATTTATTAATATGAGCAAAAGAAGTAGTAGTAGAAGATAAACAACCAAAACGAGCAACAATAATTAAATTAGTAGTAAATTTCTGCAGACAAGGCACTTGTGCCAAAGATTCCATCCATTATTTCTGCAGACAAGTTCAGTACTAGTAGCAGAAAGTAAACATGAAGACGTAGGTCAAGTCTGAGATTGCCACAATCTATGTTATCATCCTCTACCAACTGACCAACAAGAATGGTTTTAGGGAGATGAAACTGTGAAGAGAAGGTAATACAAAGTCAATATATGCATGAACCAAGGACACCACACCTGAATGGGTTACTAATTACTATACCCTAGTAGGAGGAAACTTATTACATGAAGGAGCAATAAACAACTGGTTGTTTCTAGATCTAGTGTTGAGGACCTTGAGGCAGAGTACAGAATTAGGACATATAGTGAGACTAAACTAATCTAGGTCAAACGTGTTATTGCTGATTTGGGGATCATGGTTAACTAGCCTATGAGACTATATTGTGATAATAAGGCTGCCAACAAAACTATTCACAATCTTATTCAACATGATCAGACAAAAGACATAGAAGTTGATAATCATTTCATCAAGGAGAGTTGAAGTTTATGAGATTTATTTACCCTTAGGGAAATAATTGTAAAAATTGCCTATTAAAAAAAAAATCGTGGCATAAATTKGTAACAAACATGCATGGCATAAAGGACAACGATTGGGATGTTTGCTCATCTTAGGGCTACCCTGGCTTCTCCTTGAATGGCTTTCTATGACATTCTTCTGGTCTTTCTCAATCATATCATATATGATGTCTATTCTAGTAGTATTATTCTTTCTTTCAAGAGGGAGCTTTTATCAAAATTTGTTGCAACTTTTGGAATTGGTATATTTGAATTCTTATAAGCCTAATAGTCCCTTCTTATGGAAGAAGGGACTTAGTTTGCAAGCTTGATTTGGACTTTGGAGAAGGCTTATAAGCCTAATATTATGATACTATTCTCTTTTGTGAAGGAGATGATGTCAATTCAGTTAGGAATTTGAAATTCGTGGTTCAATTCTTTGAGAAAATGTCAAGTCTGAAAGTTACTTCTGATAAGAGTTGTGTGGTGGGGTTTAATATGGATGAGGAGGCATCAGAAA